GCTCCTAAGGGTGCCCCGGAAGTATGTGTGTGTGTTTTGTGGGGGGAGCGGGGGCTGTCCCTGCTGCAGCCTCTGCCTCCTACCTTGAACTCCACTGCCAGGGGGTTGCTGGCCCTCTCCAAGGAGGTGGTATCCAGGCGTTTCTGGTAGCCCTCCAAACGGTGTCGGTTCTCTGTCTGCTTCACGGCTTCGTTCACGTACTTGAGGATTTCCCGGCACTGATCCCGGGCCCGGCAGAGCTTCTCGTGCTCAGAGGTGCCACCTACCACACAGGGTAGAGAAGATGGTTAGGGGCTCCACCTGCGGTCTGTCAGAGAGTCAGATGTTACCTGGCTACCTGTGTCCATCCACTACTTGTCTGTCAGTTTGTTGTACTGTGGTGACTTGTGTGTTGCTGTGATGCTAGAAGCTAAGCCACTGATATTTCAAATACCAGCAGGGTCACCCTCGGTGGACAGGTTTCAGCGGGGCTTCCAGACTCAGACAGACTAGGAAGAAGGACCTGGTGATCTACTTCCGAAAACAACTGGCCAGTGAAAACTTTACAGATAGCTGTGGAACACTGTCTGATATAGTAGGGGAAGATGAGCCCCTCAGGTTGGAAGGCACTCAGATACAACTGGGAATAGGGTGGCTGCAACAATGGACTCAAACACAGCAATGATTGTGAGGATGGCGCAGGACTGGTCAGTGTTTCCGTTGTACACAGGGTTGCCATGAGTTGGAACTGACTTGACGGCACCCAACAACAACAACCTGTACCCATGGTGAATGGCCTGCCTCAAACCAGTAGGTATGGATGGGCATAGACAAGCTACAGCTGCCTGACCCTGAAGACCTGAAGCGGTAAGGTTAACTTTTACTGAGTATCTAGGGTTTCAGACCACTGTTTTTTTTTTTTTTTTTGCAGAAGATATTTTTTTTCAAGACTATTTTAAAAAAATGTTTCATTCATCTTAAATTCTCCATGAACTAAAGATATGTTCACTGCTAAAGGCAGCATCCTCATGGTGGGTCTCATTTTCCTTTTTTTTTTTTTTTAATTGTACTTTAGATGAAAGTTTACAGAACAAATTAACTTCTCATTAAACAGTACACATATTGTTTTATGACAATGGTTACCAACCCCATGACATGTCAACACTCTCCCTTCTCGACCCTGGGTTCCCTATTACCAGCTTTCCTGTCCCCTCCTGCCTTCCAATCCTTGCCCCTGGGCTGGTGTGCTCCTTTAGTCTTGTGTTGTTTTATGGGCCTGTCTAATCTTTGGCTGAAAGGTGAACCTCAGGAGTGACCTCATTACTGAGCTAAAAGGGTGTCTGGGGGCCATTCAGACCACTGTTTTGAAGACAGTGTTCTGAAGGCACTGTGCCTAGACCACAGCCAGCTTGACTGATAGGCAAACAGGACTACGGGTGACGGCAATGATTATGCCTGCAGGAAAGCCTGCTCACACTGGGCTCAGGTTCTTCTCTATTCTGACTCCAGTGTCCCAAATTTGAGGGTGGCAGGAGATGCTCAGGATCCCAGGGACCTGGGGTGAGACCCCTACTCAGCCTGGTCCCCTAGCCCTCTAGGGCTACCACGTCCGGTTGTGTCTTTAGTGCACTACACAGATGAGTCCAGCAGGGAGGTGACCAAAACCAAACCAAACCAACTGCTGTCGAGCGGATTCAGACTCGTGACGACCCCACGTGTTATAGAGGGACTAGCACTCCAGACGGGCAGTGAAAACCAAACCCGATGCCGTCGAGTCGATTCCAACTCACTCTGACCCTACAGGACAGAGAAGAAATGCCCCACAGGGTTTCCAAGGTTGTAATCTTTACAGAAGCAGGCTGCCACATCTTTCTCCTATGCAGGGGCTGGTGGGTTCCAACTGCTGACCTTTTGGTTAGTAGCCAAGTACTTCAACCACTGTGCCACCAGGGCTCCTTAGGGGAGTGACCAAAAAACCAAAACCAAATCCACTGCTGTTGAGTCTATTCTGACTCATCGTGACCCTACAGGACAGAGCAGAACTGCCACATAGGGTTTCCAAGGAGTGGCTGGTGGATTCGAACTACCAACCTTTTGGTTAGCAGCTGAGCTCCTAACCACAGCACCACCAGGGCTCTAGGGGAGCGAAGGGGGCCTAAACTCCAGCCATGGGCCCTGGCGTGGGACCATGATCTTCCTGAGGAACCAAGGCACCCTCCGCGTGACAAGCTGTGTGTCCACTCAGAGGGTGCTGCTTTTGTCTGCTTTGCACAAAGGCTCTGTACAGACCAGTGATGGCCCTGCCTCTCCCGCTGTCGAGCACTTTGGATTTCCCAAAGTACGTTTAGTTACTATCTTCTTTGAGACATACTCTAATAGGACACGGGTGAAAACACTGAAGGCCAGAAAAGTGACTTGCTGAGGTCACAAAGCCAGTCCGTGCTGGAATTAGAATCGGAAACAAGGTCTCCTGACTCCCAACTCCAGCCCTTCTCCATGCCCTACCCTCGGTGTGCTTGATGATGTTTTCCAGCAGCAGCGGGTACTTGGTGAGCCGCTGCATCTCTGAAATGATGAGGTCTCTAAGCTGCAGCCGCCGGCACTGGGGGTGGCTCTCGGCCTCCTAGACGGCAGGAGAGGAAGACAGAGACAAAGGTCTCAACCTGTGGTTGGGAGCTGGCTCGCGGGCTCAGGACCAAGGTGGACATGGAAGTGCCAAATGGTTCCTGATTCCCGATGGGTCATTCAGAATCGGTGGTGGCAGCTTCTTCCTTAAACATTTAGGGTAGGGTGTTGGGGGCAGGCACTATTCCTATCTTATAGACAAGGAGACTGAGACCCAGGGAATTAATCTAAGTGCACACAGGTACTGGTAGGTGTGCTAGGTCTTCTGACTGCTAACCCAGTGTTCTTTTCAGGAACAGTGGCCTCTATCTTGAAGGGTGTGAATGTGTCAATGTTTTCTGAAGGCGTGCTGTGGGAGGTTACAGGGAGTTGCCAGGTGGAGCTGGGAGTCAGGGGCCAGAAGGAGGGAAGCTCAGATTTTGGTGAACTTCGTGGAGATGATGGGAGGCTGAGGGGGGCACCGAGGGAGTGCTGACGGGAGGCTGAGGGAGGGCCGAGGGAGTGCCTGACGGGAGGCTGAGGGGGGACTGAGGGAGTACCTGCATGAAGAGCTGGAAGCGGCTCTCCTTGCGCTGCTTGGTCTTGATCAGCTCCAGGGCTATCGACTGATAAGAACAGAACTGAGCAGCCACCTGCTGGAGTTCCTCTCGGGCAGGACCGTCAAACTGAGAGGCAGAATGGACACCCGCCCAGGCATCACACCCCTGCCTGGGTCCTGTCCCCTCCCTCCCTCCCTCCTCCCCTGCCACATCCCCCACCCTTGAGTAACGGGACCCTGTCTCCCCCAATCTCCTCCTGCCAAGCAGGCCACGTTTGGAGCCATACCCGCGCCAGCATGAGGTCACTGATTTCTCTGATGATGGGACCCTCTTCCCGGAGCTTCTTCATGGCTTCACACCAGGAATCTGGGGCAAGCAGAGAAGAAACAGAAATGTCGAGGGCTGAGCTGCATTGCTGGAGCCTTTGTGACAGAGGAAAAAGGGATGTTTGACAGCAGTGCTGTGGGGAAGGGTCTGGAAAAGGAGATTCCTAACCTGTTTTACTCTTGGGGGAACTGGGTGCTGTTTGCACCTTTTCTCTCACAAAAGAAGACTGGACTGGTTACCCACTCAGGGAGGTGCTGGCATGTGGGTGAAGGCCAGCTAGAGGAGGAGTGGGGGGGTGGGGGAGGGCAGATGGGGGGACAGGCTCCTTACTATGGATCTCTATGATGGGGGGGAGGGCAGATGGGGAGACAGGCTCCTTACTATGGATCTCTATGATGGGGGGCGTGGAGGAGGGCAGATGAGGGGACAGCTCCTTACTATGGATTTCTATGAGTTCAGGAAGGTTAGGAAAGAGCCGGGCCAGCTCCTCCCGGGGCATCAGGTTCTCCTTCTTCATCCGCTGGTAGAAGATCAGGTCCAGGACACGGAGTGTGCGCAGATGAGATGCTTCGGTCACAAACAGCTCTGAGTGGTGGTTGTGGTGAGGAGAGGGGGAGGGGAGAGAGAAAACAGATGAGCAAGTATCTAGAGTCACTACCCTGATCCCCAAACCACTCTGCTATTGGGGGAACTGGAGTGTTGGTTTAAGATCATACATCAAAGGGCCAGAACTGAGATGAACCTTACAGGTACAGGCCACGGGCCTGGTCCTGTCCTCCACGGGCTGCTACCGAATTTGCCTCTTCGCCACCCTCTGCACCTCAGGTGCCCATGACCTATTCCCACACTGGTCTGAATGGAGGTGGGGGGAGTGAGCAGGCTCACCGTTGATGACCTCCTGCCGGTCAATCTCCCGCTGGCTTAGCCCAGCCACCACATCCTTGCCCACGGTATGCTGCCAGTTTTGGGCATCTGGCTCTGGCTCCAGGTCAGACAGCTGGCCCAGATCATCCTCTAGGAGGTGGGGAAGGAGGGCATCTGTGCAGAACCCCAAGCTGGGGGACTCAATGCTCCTGGGGAAAATGGGCAGCTCAGCTTCACTCTGGAGGAAGAGCTCACGCACAGGCCTTGTCCCTCCATCTCCTGCCCAACCTGCTTGCCCCGTGCCCATGGGACACCAGCAGGCCGTGAAGAGATGCACACCCAGTCAGCCACTCAGGACCAGAAGAGCAGCTGAGCATGGACAGGTCCAAAGATACTCAACAGAGGTGCCACCGTGCCCATCACTCACCTGCGGCCCATTTTGGGGGTGAAGGGAGGGGTTGGGTTCTCAAGAGACCTATGGAGAGAATGTCAACTCTCAGCATCCTTCACCCCTCTACCCTGGCCCCCTAGATATCAATGGGTAGAGCTCCGTGGGCCCCACCCACCTGGCGGAGAGGCTGGAGGCAGAGGACGAGGCCGACTGGTGGAGGCGCGTGGCCTCAGCAGCAGCATCCATGTCAACGTCACTGCGAGAACGGGGCACGTTCTCTGCCTTCCGAGACCGCTTCATCTCCTCTCGACCCTTCAGGCTCTCAGAGCGGCCCAGGCGGATCTCTGAGCGGGAACTGGGAGGAAAACGAAGAGATCTCATGTCCTGGCCCACTTTTATCTGCTGCATTATCTTGAGGGTCCTCAATGCCACAGGCTCTTCACCCTCCCCCTAAAGCACCAGAACACCTGGATGGCAGAAGCTTCTCCATGACAAGCCAGCAGGGCACCCAGCTCCTCCTCCTCTCCATTGCCCTCCTGCTCAGGATTGTCTAAGCGGTAGTGGGTGCTTCCCTCTGACTCCCTGCCGGGGCCTGGTGCCGTATTCGATGACAGACCATTTTTGCTGTTCTACACATTCCTCCTTCTCCCCAGTCCAGCTGGATGGACAGAGCCGCTCATCTTCCTCCTGACCTATCAGGAAGGGATTCTACCAAGAAGATAAAATTTGGGACTAATCGAATCAGACCTGTGTGTGTCCAGAGGCCTATGAGCCTAAGCCCCCATCAGGAAAGCTATGGACACCAGAGTTCCTCATCAGAAACTACAAGGACCTGCCCCCTGCCCTGGGGCCAGCTAGTGGCCAGTCCATCTTGCCCTCTGCTCTGGCTCTGCAGGAGACAGATCTCTTCTATACAAGAGCTTCTAAGACGAAGTACGGTCACTATCTCCACATATTCATTCTAGGGTTCTCCCCCCACAATGCTTGTCAGAAAATTCTATCTGCGGTTGGATTCCCACTCCTCTAGTTGTGATGCGGATTCCTTCCATTCTTATCTTGATAGAATCCTTCCTAAGCTCCCATTTTCCTCCTTGGGAGCAGACCAGTTCAGGAGGGCACTTAAAGGGGTCTGTTAACTGAAAGGCAGAAACCCGCCCTGTGGCCGCCATGCCTGGCCACTGAGTGCCTCTAGGGCCTGATGAGATGCTGATGACTGGGTGTTGCTCCTTTTGGAGTCCTGCAGTGTCTCAGCCCTGAGACAGCTGGCATCTCTGACCCGGAGCTGCCCTGGGATGGTGCCTCCCCCATGGCCCTGCTGGGCCGGCTCCCTGCTGACACTATTACTCATCTACATCCTGCTCTGCTCCTAGGGGCACAGAGGCCTGGAAACGTCTGGAGAGCTGAGAGTAGAACAGCGGGTGCTGCCGTGAGGGAGCCAAACAGCTTGGCCTCCATTCATCAAGTCTCTCTGAACCGCCAGGGGCTCCAAACTGGAGCTCACCTCCCGGGGTCCTGGAGGTCTGTCCACAGGGCTAGAGAACCTACTGCCAACTGATCCCTGACTGAACTCACCCCCAAGAAATCTGTTAGAACAACTCCAACCCAAACCAAAAATCAAACCAGCTACCGTCAAGTTGACGCCAACTCTTGGAGGCTCCATAGTGTTTTTAACGGCTGATTTTTGGAAGGAGATTGCCAGGCCTTTCTTCCGAGATGCTTCTAGGAACCACCAACCCTTTGGTTAGCAGCAGAGTGTGTTAACCATTTGCACCACCCAGGGACTCCAACTCCAACCCAGACTAACTCAGAACACTTTTCCCAGTGCTCCTACATGGGTCACTTGAACACCATGATAAACCTCACCCAGGAGTACACTGGGGCTGCAGAGCTAAGCTCCCTCTGTCAGGCAGTAAGAAGTGAGGCATGGAATACACCTCTGGTCAGAGTTTCTGGGGTACTGTCTTCTAGAACTGGGGGCATCTTATACCTGCTGAGCAGCTACATCAAACCCCTGACCCACTATGCTGCTGAATACTACTTCTTCCAAGAATGCCCATTACCTTGTAACCATCAAGTCCAAAGACTTCTAGAGTAAATTTACACAGAATTTCAAGAATACAAGTTTGCAAACGGCCTCAAATATTTCCCTAAAAATCTTGACACTATATATTTGATATATCTGTAAGATCATGCCTACTACAGCCATCACATAATTTGTGTATGTAATTTACCCAGTAATATTAGAACTGAACTTCTCACCCTAGTAAAATCTAACCTTTTCCTCCCACTAAATTTTTGTTAATTCTCACTATGGCAAAATCTTTAACATGTATTAAGCTTACAAAGGCTTCATATAAACAGAAAGGAGTTAACTTACATACAAGGAGGAATGTTTGACTTATAGCTTGATAATTCGTTATTTCAGAGGGGAGATGGTTTGAATATCTAGATGGCTGGATTGACTGGAGCCCTGGTGGCGCAGTGGTTAAGAGCTCAGCTGCTAACCAAAAAGGTCGGCAGTTCGAATCCACCAACTGCTCCTTGGAAACCCTATGGGGCAGTTCTACTCTGTCCTATAGGGTCGCTATGAGTTGGAATCAACTCGATGGCAATGGGTCTGACAGACTGACTTGCTTTG